GTACGATCGTCGAAATTTTTTTATAAGTTAGCATATTATCGAAATTTTCGAAATACTAATTTTGAACGACTTACTTTGACAAGTTGGAGCATTCACTACGATTGATCGTTTCGTACGCCATTAACGACGTAGAAAAGTAGACAATGAACACTTTGAAATTGTATTAAGAATGCAATATTTCGCCCTTATTTGATGGAGATTTAGATTTTGTTAAAAGGCGGTAGAAAAAGAGAAAAATTAAAATTTATTGCGATTTCGCCCCTATTTGATGGATATTAAAATCAAATTTTTAGTAATTTTGATAAAAGTTAAATAGTTATGGATTCTATGAAATATATTATTAAAATTAATTGTTAACTTTGATTTACATTAAAATTTATATTTCAATCGATACCAAACACGATTATATATATATATAACTCAAAAGATAGGGGCATGTGCCCCCTCAGGACCCCCCTGGGTCCACCTATGATTACATGATACAGTTGGGTTATGAATTTTATATATAAAGTTTTGAAACCTTATGTGGTCTTTAATGAAAACTTTTGATAATTACTTTTTTCTATAAATTAATAATTATGTAGTAGAATTAGTATTGTTAGAATGGTATTTTAATAAACTTTCCAACCATATAAAGAACTTAAATTTTGGACTTAAAATAAAGAAGTTATGTGAGTTTGAAGTTTGAATGTAAATTTGAATTTTCACATGAAGATCGGTAAAAGTCAAAATTTTATCACATGTAACTTCTTCTACACTGTGTTTCATGATTCTCGTTTGTATAGTTGGATAGATCTTCTCGAGAACTTTCTAACGTTATAAAGATAATTAATTTTGGCCCTGAAATGAAGAAGTTATGACCCCCCGAAATTTGGATGTAAATCTGATTTTTTTACAAGAAGATTGGTAAAATTCGAAATTTCATCACATCATAACTTTTTCTACACAGTGTCTTATGCTTCCCATTTGATTGGATGGATAAATCTTCTCAAGATCTTTTCAATGATAGAAAGATCATTAATTTTGGCCTTAAAATGAAAAAGTTATGATTTCTGGAGGTTTAGTTGAAAATTTGAAAAATATGCATGATTTTTTTGCCATTTTCACTATTGGGCATATCTGTTGATGTCCCAAACGTGGCCTTAAATATTGATTTTTTAAAATTTGACTACACAGATGAACTTTTTCATTTTAAGGCCAAAAATTAACTTTTTTCATTTTAAGAACGTTGAAATTAGGTTGGATGACCAATTAAAAAGTTTTTTCGAAAACGGCATGGTCGTGCTAACGCACCCCA